TATTTATCAATGAGGTAAGAAATTTTTGGTAATAGTAATATTAATTAATATTAAAACAACTGTTTAAGCTGACTCTAATCTACTTTGTTTACAAGTTACGGAAGCATGTTACCTGTTTACAGTTCGAATATGAATTCCTAGGCCTTTATGGAGTTACACAACATCCAGAAACAAAAGAGTACATGCTTGTTATGCAGCATGCTAATAATGGTAACCTTTTGTCTTACTTGGATAGAAACATAGGCAGATTGTCATGGAGGCAGAAATTAGGACTTTTGGCAAACATTGCAGATCAACTGTGCAATATGCACCTAACACATGTTGTGCATGGTGATCTCAATGGTGAAAACATAGCCATACATGACAACGCTGCCGAAGTCAAGCCGTTCATATACAACCTTGGCTTTTCACAGCTGGTGGAATACAAATCAAAATCAACAATTCAAGGTGCTTTGCTTTTTGTTGCACCAGAAGTCTTTCATACATACAAATATACAACACAGTCGGATGTATATTCTTTTGGCATGATTATGTATTTGATAGCCACTGGCAAACAACCTTTTCATGACAGGCAACTTGATCAAAATTTACTACATGATATTTTGAATGGACTACGACCAACAATACCTGATTCAGCACCAGATGAATACAAGAAACTTGCCAAATCGTGTTGTGATGCTGATCCTGATAAGCGGCCAAGTACAATGGATGTCTGTATATTTTTTGACGAGGCGCAAAGGGTTGATCCAGTATGGGATGTTATCTATCATAATAACAATAACAATTGATGTAAAATCTTTATCATGTATTGTAAACAGGTCAAATTTACAACATTAACTTTACATGTATGAAAACACACCATATGTGCACTGGTTGCAAGACACACAATTTCCGAGTGCAACTTCATATTATGTTTTCGCCTTGTTTTGACTTTTATATGCTTCAGTACTCTCTTCACTACTAGCATAGGAAATTGCTCTGGACAATATTGGGCAGAAATTTTAAAGTTTGCATCCGATGATAATCAGAAGAATTTTTTTAATAATAGTTTTAAAATAACGATTACGATAATATAGTATTATTATTCGTTGGGTTGTCAGATTATTAGTTAACTGACGTAACATAGTAATAGTCTGTTATTTTATTCTGAAAGTAGAATTGAAACTCGAGTTCTTGTAATAGGATGCAACGGAATAATCAACTAGCAGTTGAACTAATGTAAAGTTGATGAAATAACTCTGACTATTACTGTGGAATAATATTTATAGAACAATGGAAAAAACAACTATAAACTTACGATTGGAGATATTCAACTAGCAGTTTCACTGTAATCTCCAATGTCTTCAATAGTAGATATTCAGTCTCGTAATCTCTAGCTTTTCGGTGTATTAATATACTGAATTACAACGTCAAGGTTAATCAATCCCAGCAACGATGTTACAGTATAATAGAGAAAATACATCCAGCACCAAAGCCGGGATATAATTAGATAATTCAATACTATCATCAATAACGTCATCCCAATTGGTTTCTATATTAGTATGTTGCAATAAGTTTTTCAAAGATGAACGTACGGGCTTTTAAACAACTACCGTTAAATAGTATTAATGTTTCTCTGTCACTACTTCGTTATTCAGCCCAATTCTCAATACCCTGGTAAATGGACAAGTTGATGGGTAGTGCTTGCCACATAAAGTGGAAGGATTTCTTAAATATCTATACTAGAAACAATGATATGGATAATAAATGTTTGTTTAATCACTCGACGCTTACTACTATTTCGAATGCGTAAACCGAATATTGAAACCGATGACATCGTAGTAGTAGACAGTAATAATTGGGCTAGATACAACATTCCATATCAGTGGGGATAAGACTTCTTAATATTAATGGACGGCAATTTTTTGAAAGCTGTTACTATTTAACGGCGACCAAGTATAGTTTGTCGCTTACGCGCCACCAATGCATAAAATGAAATGACAGCAACGCAAGACCACTATTACTGATACCTATTGAGTATATGTTCTTGAGGCATTCACCTAATCTATCACGTAATTATGTGTCTCCGGTTTACAACTTGCAGCGACAAAGACTACAAATTATCAACATTGCGACATATTAATATCAATATACCAATAACGGAGACCAGCACAAACCCTTCCTCCATCGTCCAAACCCACAGAGTAGGAATGAACAACCAGAGGTCAGATAAGACCGGTCTTTTAACCCGCCAAATATTTGGTGATTACAAGTGGACTGGAATCACCCAAATCCTATATTATCCTTACTCATTAATTTGAGGCACAAATAATGCGCCAGTCAAGCCTTTTATGTTGCAATAAATTTAAGGTCTCGTCAGTTATGGGTCTAATATTAACCAATAGGAAACTAGTTTAATATATTGACTATTCAAACACTACTACTGCTCGGATTTTCTTCATTCGGGAGATGACACTTTATTTTAAACATGCGTTTCAGTTTGATATTAGACAGAAAGCAAACGCTGACGAATTTAGTCACATCATAATTGTACTACCAATAGTACATCATAGCGTGCGAAAACATTGCTCACAACACAAGTCTATGTTGTAGCGCCAATTGCTGTTGTCTAGTAATGAAAAAGCGACTCGCTATACGGCTCGCTATAATAAGAAAGATTGTTACTGTAATGCACAAATTAGCACCAAAACAATCTAATACTAATACTCTATTCCAACCCGTCGAAATTTTTGTGGGGAAGGATAGTAGAATGCTCTGTACTCTGATGTTTTCTCATATTTAACAAGTCATCATAGATATTGCTTGTGTGATTTGCATAGTCTATTGATAGTCGCCTTTTTTTTTTACTTTAGTATGGGCCTTTTTCTTTCTATACTAATACAGTATACTAAACCCTATTCTCATAGCAGAGGCTTTGTCATGATCTGCATGTCCGGCATAATTCTGATACCGTCGAAAAGGTGGAAAGCACCTCGACCCAGTATTGTTTTTATAACATTACGCCACCGTTGCCAGCTCTTGCCAGTAGGTGAGATCATGTTTTCGACAAGATTGTCAACGAAAAGAAAATCGCAAATCAACAACCAGAGTCCCGATAGATTATGAGTTATTTGCCTTATAATTAATTCTGGTTCATCCATCCCTTTAGCACACTCTCGTCACAAAATCGTTAACCATTCATGCGCAATACACATCCGTCTCATCATCGACTTCCATTCTAACGACTCTTTGTCGCCTACGATTCTTTCTCCCCGTGCTGTTATCAACGTTCACATTGTCGTCTTCGAAATCCCACTCTGATTCTTCATTGTCCGTTCTGCTTTCATCAGCTCCGTCCTGCGGGTTAACATTCTGTGTACTTTCTTCCGGCTTTTTGTGTTCGAGGATGATTCTTGAAAAGTTGATTCTCTTGCTAGTGTGACAAATATAACTCAAGTCTGAACATCTGGACGATTCTGGATCTAGAAAAGATTCATGAGAAAAGGGATATTTTTGTGAGGAGAGATAATTCGAGTTCTCAAGAGATAGAAAGTGTAGGGATTTCAACCAACGCGTTTCTAACTTGATTTGCTATTTGAGTACCTAGCTCTTGTGCAAATAGCAACGTAGTTCCCACTTGATCATCAAACTCGCCTCTGTACTGTTGACCTGCTACCTCTAAATATGGAGTATCCGTGTCTAGGCCCTAAAAATCGAGCGGGCGTGAACATTCGAGCGGATGAAAATATCGACTATGCACTCTTTAGCGGCATCCTTGCATACAATTAATGAATACCCTTGATTGTGGTCGAGCGATTGCAGCATTTCGTTTGTTAGTTCTGTTCCTACGTCGAGGATCAAATACGATACCTAATAAATTGGGGGAATTATACATAATAAAGTTCGTTATGTAAAAAGATAGTAAAGACCCTCCCCTTCCATTTTTCAATAATAAGATTCTCACCTCGTCTTCGTATTCACTTTCAGGCTCATCTGAATTTTCATTTCTAGTTTCCGTACGTACACCTCTCTCCTCCGCACCTACGTCGTAGTCGTTCATTAGTGTTGCCAAAAAGGAGTGCGTTGAATAATAAGTCTATAGAATTGCATCATTTCATGTTTGTATCACAAGGTGATCGATCCCACGTTACCGTTCATTTACTTTAGCTCATAGGATAAATCTTGCGTTTAATTATTTTTCAACTGTCTACTTACTACTTGGGTTTCGGGTTGGTTTTCGAACACGATTGAAATGCATGACATTCTTATATTGTTTCTCCCTTGGTTTGCGCCACCGTTGTAGTTAGTTTATTGTTACCGCGGATACCTCATTAACGATTTGCGCCTTTGGAGATGGTCTGCACTTTAGGAAAGTAGTCCTGGCCTAGATACTTGGGAAATGAACATGTGTTTATATAAGCTGTGTTTTTGACATGTATATTGTAGAGGTAATGTTCTATCATGTCCATTAACCTTGTGGGATATTGGAGTCTAAAGATCGTAATCGTGCTAATCAAACTGGTTTTCGTACAACATAATTAAGCGTTCCATTTTTTGATAGTCTTTGACAATTGTAGTAATTGTTAAGAGTACGAAAAAGTAAGTAGGGAGGAGCTTTTTTGGAATTGCATTTGACGTTGGCATGCTTATAACTTTCGGATGACAGAGAGCGAATATCTTTGTGTAGAAAATTATTTCTGCAATCTGGTCTAATGGATTCTTGGGTGTCTGATCAATCAACCCTTTCCCAAATCTATTATCATCGTCTTTGCTACCAAAGTTTAGTTAATATTCCATGCTTTCCCACTTGAAAATATATTGACCAACACGGCACACATGATTCATGCATGTGGTTTGTGATACATCAAAACATAGAATATACGATTTTTGTCCTGACCCTAAACCTGGCTGCGTACATCCTCTCGCCCTCGTCATAAATAATATCAACTCTCGATTTCTTTCTGCTCCTTTTTCTTCCTCCTCCCCTCGTCTCCGTCTTTTTGCATTCTAGTCTCGCAGTAATGGAGAACGTCCTGATACTTATAGTTAGTGCTTTTTTTGTCATATTTACTCTGATTCTACATACATATCTCACCTGGCCTAGTAAGGACGATGATATTCCGGGATTGAAGGGGAGGAGTATTCTATGGTTATTTGCCCATCCCGATGATGAGTGTATGTTTTTTGGTCCTTCGATTTTGAATCTTTCACAGAATAACGACGTTATGGTGCTGTGCTTGTCGAATGGTAAGAAAGACTTTGCAAATTTGTCGTTTATAACGTAATTGTATTCATCCGACAAAAAGCGCAATTTATCGTCTACCTGGGCTTTAATATGCGTCACTACTATTATTAGGAAATGAATCGGGTCTTGGACGTATACGAACGAAAGAGTTGGAAGCTAGTTGTAATACACTTGGTATAAAAGAAACTTATGTGAATATTGAAAATCACGCGTAAGTTGTTAAAAAAAGCGCTGTACCATTCTTTTTTTGTACTCTATTTGTGCTCACATTTGTTGCTCCGTTAGGGCTTTGCAAGATGATCCAAGAATACATTGGGATCCTGCAATAATATCTGACATTCTGAAGGATTATGTTACAAAAAATGGAATTGACACTGTGAGTATGATTAGAGTTATATTATTGTCATCGCTATAATTGATTATCAGGGATGGAAATGATTGTTACCGATAAGTAACCTGTTTCTACTCTCCCTTTCATTCAGATAATAACATTTGACGACAAGGGAATCTCGGGTCATCCAAACCACATATCATGTTATAATGGGGCCAGGTAAGACTCTTGCACAAAAACTTTGTCGTTCCTTCTCGTCATTTGCCAAGTATCCGATGCTTAACTATGCACCATCCCCCTTCTTCTTTTACCAATCAGGGTATTTGCCAAGAATGTTTCAGCAAATGACGTTCTTATATATAAACTCAAAACCGTCAATGTTTTCCGAAAATACATTTCACTATTCGACCTAACTTGGACACATTACAACTATCATGTCGCCGATATGAAGAAGAAAACGAATGGTGTTGTCAAGCCATCGACACCACCTGATACTGTGCTCCTCGTCTCAAGTTTCGAGAACTATATCAAAGCGCGCGAAGCCATGAAATGTCATAAGAGCCAATTGGTCTGGTTCAGATATCTATATGTATTGTTTTCGAGGTATATGGTTATAAACGAACTGGAACGCGTTCAGTAATATTTATTGTAGTAAAAAAATTAGATTTTATAATACAAGAATAGTTCTCGGCGAAAGTAATGGCGGATATATTTTTTTTTTACTCTTTTCCTTTAAAATATATGAACGAGATTTGATTGAAAACTAATAAATTTTATGTAATTTCTAATACTGCTATACATCTCAGGATAGACTTTTACCAGATTGGACATTGCTTTTATTCATCACGATGTTTCGTTTTCAAACAAATTCTTGACTTGTTCGACAGGGTTAAAGTTATGTGAGTTAAGAAAGATTGGTTTTCAGGTGAGCAAAGGACATAGTAACTTGCCCTATTCATGTCTTTTTTTTATAATTTAGAACCGTCACGCCGAATGATTTTCATAGGGGATAAATTTTGTGTAACGTGCGATGCAAATACTTTGAGCGATCATATTGATTCTGTTACTTAGACAAAAGTAAATCTACGCCTTCTGTATTTTCAGTACGTGTAAGCATTGCTTGACTCTAAAATAGTTTACTCAAGGTCTCAAAAAAGTCTCTTTTCGGGCACTGACTCCAAGATTCTTCTCCATTTACACACGGTTTAACTTAGCGATACCTCGTTGAAGATTGTATATACTAGGTACTTCAAGATATCTTAGTAGTGCAAGAGTGCTTTACTTGTATTTTCTGGATGTTTGATTAGGACGTCTTTTTTGCAAGATTAATTAAGCAACATTTCCATGATTTCTGTAAGAAGAATTCTTATTGCAACGGGTCTCGCATCAACATCGATTGATTCCGTTTTGTAAGTTATCGATTGCTACAGATCTATGAAAGATTAGTTAATGTCTTGTGAACAAGATGTGTGATTGTAATGGAGTTACTGATATTTTTTAATAGTATTCAATTATGGGGGCGGGACGACAAGTAGACGTGCGGTAGAACATCTGATCCAAACGAACGCATTTTACTGCTATTTTGTAAGCAGTTTCATCTATATTTACAATTATAATTATTATTCTTTACTTGTATATTATGATAATTATATTTACGGATGGATCGCACTATTTAGCATCATTCGCATCTCACTTGCGTAAGTTATTTCTATAATATGTCATGACTCTCTTATATTCCCATCCTGGAAGACTTGGCAACAATTCATTAATCTTGCTTTCAAGCATATTGTCAGCAACATTGACTAGCTGTGCAAGTATGGCCTTTTCTGCATCTGTAGTTCGGCGTCGTTTGTTCTCTATCACGGGCATCGATGCAACACTCTGTTCAACTGTCTGGATTTGTTCTCGTTGAGTGTTCTTCTGCTTTCTTGGAATATTTATAGCATTTTACATCCTGTTTACGTCGTCCAGCGCTTACGCGGGGTTCAGTTTTGTAAACATCTTGTTGAAGTATTTGTTTAAATCGTAATCGACCCGATCCATATAACGAAAGAAGGTCTTCAATGCCTTTCTCATTCATCTCCGGTGCATTTTGAAACAACACACAAGGCACTGTAAGATCAGTATGTTCAAATGCAGATGAGAGCTCTGTGACAAGGAGCCAAAGTGCATCTTTGTACGTTTTAACCGTACGAGTGTTCTTATCTGCCGCAAGATCAACATATTCTTTAAGAAGTATTGATAAACGATCTGTACCGCTTTGATCTTTAACCTCATAGTTTTCTCATCAGTGAGATTACCAGTAATATTCTGTTTAACATACTTTACACCTCGTGTTTCAAGCGCTTCATCGAAACCGAGATAATGCCCTTTACTTGTAAGATTAACTGATCATACTGTTGCTAACAACTTTTGTAACTGTGAGTCATCATAAACTTGTGCCAGAAAGTGTGCACATGCATAATTAGATTTTCCGGCTGCAGGGAAGATAGGCGAAAATGCAAACAAATTGGCTATCTGCATCTTATAATTTCCCCTCCTAATTCCAATTCTATAACCCTTGCCCAACAAAAGTAGAAATACCAGACCTTCACCAGCTGATTACTGCCCTTTAAAACGTCACCCATGGTTTGTCTATTATGTTTAACATACATGCACAAAGCAATCCCTACTGCAACCCAGAACGCGGCATGTTGATCGATAATCTACAACGCGTTCAAATTTATCCAGAAAACGTGTACCAATTGTTGCTACAAGATCAAATGTTCCATACCCTGAGAATGTTGTAATCAATGCACTGCACATATCTTTAGATGCGTGCCACTGCCCCAATAAAAGTCGGAAATTTTCATGCTCATTCTTATAAGAAATTAATCTTGCGAATATTGCCTGATCACATGCAACGTATAAACTGTCATCACTCTTGAGAGATAACTCATCACGATACATCTCACATGCATCATGGACATTATCATTACAATTTGGTTCATAACCAGGTTCTAATATTACAACATTTGGTTCTGGAACATTACAACCTAAGGGTACCCAATAAGCAATCCCTGCATGCATGTCTGCCAAACTGAATTTACTCACATCACTCTCTAACAGAATCTTCAAAGTATCTTCATATGCTGTTAGCATGCAGCCATCAGTAAAGTCTAATACTGTGTTCAAAGTCGTCTCATACAGCCTGAATTTCATCGATTGAATTCACTACTTTAAAACTAGGAAGCGAATTAGTTAGGTTGAGCGAAGGTTTGGAAGTGAAAAGAGATTTATCGAAAGCAGAGGCGAATGTGGAAGGTTTAGTGGTTTCTTTCATGGTTTTCTGTAATTGAAGTAATTCTAATTCGCGCTGTCTTTGGGCTCGTATGTTGTTAAAAGGTTGTCAGTGGATGAAGGCCGTTCAAACAATTGATGTCCCGTGACAGTTAGGTTATCAAGAGAAGTGGGAAGAGTGAATTGAAATAACATCCGTAATGTTGCATGTGAAGTTGATCGTGTGACATCATATATTTTCCCGTGAAAACGTAGAGGCCCTGAAGTCAATATTATCGATGACCGCTAAATTCCAAACATTCGGTCCTGCTATCAATCTCTCTGTGGGATCTGCAGTATTTGTTCGAGGCGATTTTCATGCCGCTTTGTATAAGGGATAATATTTGTCAGGCGGAGGATTTCTCGTAAGTATGGAAATAGTTTTGGTTTCTGGCAGAGCGATGACATTATACAGTATGTATAAGCCAGATTTTTAACCTACTATAACAAATAAAATTGATACTACAATGTCACATGTTCACTTGCTGATTAGATCAATCTTATCAGCATATTAATATTAATAGTTGCCGATCAATTGAAACGTTAAAAATGCTAAGAAGAGCCCTAACAACAGCTGCAAATAAGACAAAGTTGACAATTGGATTAATTCCTGCAGATGGAATAGGGAAGGAAGTTACTCCGGTACATTCCAAAATATTAAAGACTGCCACCATACGGATTCATATACAGTCGGTGCTAAAGAATTTCATTCGTCTTGAACACATTAGGCTGCTGTTGCAATCCTCGAATCGCTTAAAGGGCCACTCCAATTCGATTTCATAAATCTGGATGCAGGATTTGAACATTTCCAAAAAACAGGCAAGGCTTTGCCCGAAAAAACTGTTGAAACATTAGAGAATGCTTGCGATGGAGCTTTATTTGGTGCCGTCAGGTATGAAGTACAAGTGCGAGAGGAGTGCTAACGGGTCATGTGTAAAAAAACGTTCAATTCGTAATAATTTCCGTCTTTTTTGTAGTTCTCCATCGCATAGAGTAGAAGGATACTCATCACCAATTGTTGGCATGCGCAAGAGGCTTGATTTGTACGCGAACGTAAGACCGGCGATTTCAGTTCCGTCTGCACAGAACGCTAATCAAACGCCTGTCGACATGTTGATAATTAGAGAGAACACAGAATGTCTGGTTAGTATACTATTATCTCGACACGTAATCTTTTTTTCCGTTATCGGTTACATTCCCCACTTTTCACTAATCCAATCTTGTCTCGTACATAGTACATAAAACAAGAAAAAATCGAGACCGATCCGGCGTCTTCTCTAAAAGTGGCCTACGCAACACGCAAAATATCCGAACACGCATCTCGTCGTTGCGGCAAAGTCGCGTTCGAGAGCGCGCTCAAGCGTGACCGTCTTCGTCAGTCTGTTCCTCTCAACCAGCGTGTCTGGAAGGGCAAGCCGAAAGTGACAATCGTTCATAAAAGTAACGTGCTCAGCATCACGGATGGATTGTGGAGAGAGACTGTTAGAGCGGTGGCGAATGACGAGAAATATAAAAATGTTGATGTCAACGAGCAGTTGGTGGATTCAATGGTGTAAGTTGCGGGGAACGTATTGTCTTTAACGTAGTTTCGTAAAGAGATTACTTAATAATTTGTACGTACAACGATCATAGTTACCGTATGTACCTCGAACCACAAGCATTTGACGTCGTCGTTGCGCCAAATATGTATGGAGATATTATCAGGTAAACAGCGTCAACGCTCTCGTTCGGTTTAAGAAAATTTTTCTCTTTCTAAGCGTACTCTTTCTTTCTCATAGTGACGGCGCGGCAGCACTCGTAGGCAGTCTTGGCTTGGTTCCAAGTGCTAACGTTGGAGACAAGTTTGTTCTCACCGAACCAGGTACTTTATCGTCTTTTTTATTTTCTTGCCATATCGTTCGTTTTAATTGAAATATAAATACGTTTGTCATTTCTCCCATCTTTTTTTTTCCAGTACACGGGTCAGCTCCAGACATAGCCGGACAAAATAAAGCAAACCCAATTGCAGCAATCAGAAGTGCTGGGTTGTTGCTAGAACACCTTGGATATCCGGATGAGGCACTTTCTATTTATAACGCTGTTGATGCAGTGATTAAGGAAGGAAGCGTGCTTACGCCGGATGTTGGCGGACGAGCGACCACTGATCAAGTGACAAAGGCCATAATGGATAAATTGTAATGAGGCGAGGAGAGTGAGGGGAAACGTGGTAAAAAACGGTGGTTGAGTAATGCCTGGGGGAAATAAATAGCGTATGCGTAGACGTTCATGTAAAAAATGATGGGTCCCTGGTCACAATAAAATACAGGCTATTTCACAAAGAGCGAGTACTTGCAATGCCCGCATTTTGCCAATACTTGTCATTGTCCTCATGTCTTTTGATATCTTTTTTTTTACAATCTTTATTCGCTGCACCAAAAGACGCAACTAAACTTTCTCATCAAATCCGATTATTCCTTGACCCTTCGGCGTTTATATTCTTCCAAAATTTCTTTATTCTCACCGCTTCCCCAAAGGCCGCAAAAAAGGTCGAATTCGACTTGCTTTACGACATCCAAAGGATCCGTCGAAGCTGACGCGATCAAACTCTTCATACTTCTCACGGCTTTCACCGAACTCCTCTTCCTTTCGGAACCATGTTCTCTTTCCGTCGGTTCTAGGAAGTAAACAAAAGGATCGAGGAATTCAATGGATTTCGAGACGGATTCGCCGGATTCAGAAAGTGCATTGGCAAAGCCCATGTCGAGGGCCGACTGGCCGGTGATTTTGTCACCAGTGGCTAAAAGCTTTAGGGCCTGGATTGTAGAACAGTCCCGGTTACGATTGAGCAAGATGAAAAAATGAATCAGAAGATAGAGAGAGAGAAAGCGTGAGAAGTGATTAAGCAGAAGGGGACGGCATTCGGGATTAAAGGATTTACCTTTGAACGACCGACAATTCCAACCAGTCTTGCTCCTCCGCCCCACACAGGCGAGGTCGCCTAACGAAACAATTGACGGTAGAATTTTAATATATAGCTCACATACTCTAATTCATTACTTTGTTTTGATATTGTAACGTTTTTCTTAAAACAGAAACTCACCATCTTGACTTGCTACTACCGCCAAACACCATTACCGTAATTGACAATATATTTAATATACGATTAATATCAATCACTTTTCCCCCAAGTTTTCTACGCAATCCTGCCCCATATCAACCATACCACGAACCGCACTACAGCCGAGTGCGACATAATTCGATAGTCACAACTGGTCGTCAACTCTGCTCCACCGCCAAGTGCGTATCCTTCAATAGCTGCTACTGATATTAAAGGAAGCCGAAAGAACCGCAGTAGAGTGTCTTGCATGACGCTACCCATTTTTGCGGCACCTGTTGAATCGTTTATGTGATCTTTTGCTACATTCAAGTCTGATAATTTAATCATGTATTAGCGTAAGTGAGGACTGGAGGAAAAGAAAAAGTAATCAGACGTTACCTAATCCGGCTATATTAGAATTCGTTTGCAGTAGGGCGAGAATGCGAAAAAGACAAAGCATCGTCGATAGGTTGAATAGCAACGACATCTTTAATTATAAAGACCAGGTCTAGCTATCCATTGATGCATATTCATGTTAATTTACTTACAGCAAAAAGACTTGTTTCCACTTCCAGTCAATATAACGGCCACCAATGCACTCTCTTCCTCCGATTCCACTTTCCCTTCAACTATATTTTGTAATTTATCAACAACATCTGCCAATTGAGCCATCATTCTACCACACAATGCGTTGTGTCGTCCTGGGTTCCTTTAAATGAGTCATATTTTTTTCAGGAAGGCTATAGTATGCGCGCCATTTCGCTCGTTTCACCTTGTTTCCTTTTCCTACTAGGCCGCCTCGGGTCAATCCTACCATCCTACCTTAGACTAATCAATGCGATTCCAGGTGCGAATTTTGTATCAAAGTCGACAGAACCACATCCCAAACTCCTCAGCTCCTCGCGCGTCCTTCGCAAGTCAGTTGCAGCCGAGTATAATCTAATTTGATGTCTGATGTGAAATGACAGACGTGAACGCAAGTTGCGGGAAATTACTGCATTCATCTACGGTTGAACAATGCGATGTAGATAACGATAATGGATGAGTAGAAAGTAAAGTAACTGGAATGTGACATGTTAGTGATTGAGATTGATCACGAAATGGTGTGTGTGCTGATATATATGGCAAATCATACGATGCCAAACATTGCAGGGGTCATAATAATTGACCCCGTTTACATCACTTGATTGAACAAATTATTGTTATGTCATATAGTTATTATCGTGCCCTTATAAGTCAACGTGTGGGGTCAAACATTGTCCATAAATATGTAAGATTGTGAAAGACCCTTCCTATGCCTGTTATTGACAGCAGAATGTCACTATTACATCGTCAAACCTTGGTAAATACATATGGATTTGCTATAAACACTAAATCAGTTTTTCATACATCAAATAGAATCCTCGACTCGTCACGTTATCCGACGCAATATATTCGTTATACATTCTACTTTAGTTATTACTCTCGCCAATATGAATATGTGTTATAAATACATTAATATTAATGCCACTCTTCTTATATTATTGATTGTCGATAAGATTTTATTGTGTTACAATAACAATAATTCGTTATGTAATGTTTATAATTTGACACAAAGAAACTCGCGTTTCAAGTTTTTTGTTTCCTAATAAAGATTGTACTTGTAGTTTTGGTATCAGTGTTGTATTAATGTGGAGATTAGTTATAGTGACAAGGTGTGGCTTGTTCAAGTTAAACTTCGAAATCCGATCAATCGCATCGCATTTTCTTTGATAGTTAGTCATTATTGCCAGGAAAGAATGTTTAAACAATGGAATGTAAATCAAATAGTCCAGCAAAATGCTTAATTTGCATATCTTGGCATGGCATGAAATTATTTACGAGACCCAATCGGATCAATGTCAAAAATGATCATAATAAAGCATAGCATATTCTGACCCATTTCGGATCCAAATAGTCACTTTTTTTTTATGATATCACATTAATTAATTATGTTGACGTCATTTAATGCGCACTGATTATTGTGATGTGACAATTTCGAAACAGGCCAAACTAATACAAATAGAGTATTCTAGACTAGAGTATTTCTTGGCAAACATGTGCTCAATGCTAAGCGTACATGATGATCAGAATGCAAAGCATAATAATACAATGAGACATAATAATAAAAAACATTCCCCACATCTTCTTTTGGCGTTACATCAAGTACTTTATTATCACGTGAATAAAAGTATCTATTACTGGTCGTTCACTTTCCAGAATGCTGTGGGAATAGTTCCTTCTTTGGACAAACTAATTTTGATGGGAATACTTTATTGGGAATCCTTTCACGATTTTCGCTCCCCCGCATGAGAAATAGTTATAACCGATCGTCTCTAGCTTACTGCGCCCGATATAATTATTGGAAGTTTGATACTTGATAAGGTGGAAAAGACATTTCGTGGCGTGATATTCTGGCTACCATGTATCGGGATTTTGATAAATAGGGTTACGTTGGCCCACACACAAAAAAAACCATCAAAATAATTCTGTTACCTTAGCTTTCCTAAATAGAAATTTTCAGAAAAAATGATACTGACAAGTCTGCTAGTCAAGTGTATTTTGCTGTCGATAATATCGTTTGTTGTGAAAGGAGAAGAAACATTTCGTATATGGAAGTATTATGAGAGGTGAGATCTGACACTTCATGCAGAGTCAACATGCATGTAATTCAAGAGTACTTATGTCATGACATTTCTGTTATGCTGTTTTCAGGGTCATAACAGTCGTTCTCTCCAGGGCCGATTACAATGATGTAATAGCGGATCCATATTTCTTTTATCTTGTAAGCTTTCCTTTGTGCTGACAATTCCGTCTATGTTGAGTCTTAGTCTAACATTGATCCATTTGCAGGCTGAGCAAGGCATTCTTTTATCAAATTCTCACGCAATATGGAGGCCGTCTCAACCAAACTATATAGCAATGATCCATGGTAGCAAGGGAGGAGTGGTAAGCATTACGTTACTATTATATGAAAAAGGTTATTTCAATTTTGAATCAGGGGATAGTCAAGCGCACTGATCCTTAAAAGTAGTCATTATAATAGTCACCTTTAACCGTCGTAATAAAAAATGCAGCTCTTTAATTCAGACTCGGACGTGGATGGTTCGTCTCTTCCAGAAAGATTAGAAGAGAGAAACATTACATGGAAGGCGTACATGGAGAACTATCCAGGTATATGTTGTCAAAATCATGCATATGGAATAATCACGCGTGTATTCAACTAACATTGCACTTGTGCTATAGGGGATGGATTTACGGGCTCGCATGACGAGCAGAACTTATATTACAGAAAGCATAATCCATTCATATCAATGACAAACATACGCGAAAATCCGGATATGGTGGCTAAGATAGTAAACGCTGATCAACTGAAAACAGACATGGAGAATAAAGATGTACCCGAATACTGCTTCTATGTGTAAGTATGATACACCTTGCAATCATCCAATTAATTTCGTGAGCATTAATCCGCTGACTTCTTTTTTCTTGGGGGTAATCTCACAGACCAAATATTATGCATTCTGGTCATGAGACAAACGTCACATACACATCAAACTATATACAGTACACACTAATGCCAATTCTTCAGCCAATTCTCACGTCATCTAGGACACTTCTCATAATAACGTACGATGAGCCAGCATCGTTAACCGAGATTGCTACCATCAATCATATCTTTACGTTATTAATTGGACCGAATGTGTTAAGGCCTCGTATACATGAGGATGCAACATATTACAATCATTATAGCGTACTTGTAAATATAGAAGATAATTGGAATCTTACCAGATTGGGGACAGATCACGAACAAGATGCTACTGCAATAGAACCTAATTTGTTCGTGGGTTAAGAAATAGACGAATAATTGTACAGATTATGAGAACATTGCAATGATAGCGTGAAATCACAAAGACTCTAATAGACTTTTAATACAGAATAATAATGATAATACGAAACACTAATTGTATCTTTAGTAACACTAATAAAAGTTGATTAGATTATCAATATCTGCAAAGCCACAATTCGCAAACAACAAATGTCAGGAAGGAACCAAATTAACATTAGATTGGTATATGGTTCATGGAAAGACAAATTCTGCGTTTGCTACAAACCAGCAGGTACCCAATGATAACGATATTATAAAACATAACGGCGGATTGCAAAATAACGAATAAAAAACATAGGCATTACAGTCCAGCACAATGATTCGAATAGACCGACGATAAACGGAGAAGCTCAGAAGTACCTGCAAGCAGGACAGCGCGTGTACAATGTCCATAGGTAATTAAAATAATATATTTCACTTTGACCTCGCTCATCAAATAACAAAGACGTCTCTATTCTGCATGCGGAGAAAAGACTGGATAAACTCACACAGGTAGACAGACGGACACTCACATAGGACTAGGCCAAAACCTTTATTAAACTCACATTCAACCATCATTCGAAAGGGCCTGCTCGTTTTGGCATTTGATCCAGAGACAGCAAATACGCTAGCAAACTCGCTCAGAAACGATCAGTGGGAGAAATGGTTTGCACAATTGGTCGATATTATCGCGACTAGCGGGTCATATAATGTCTACTGAAACGATCGTTAACATCCAAGGTATAGAGCGCTAGTAAGACTTCCAACCGATACGAGTCAACTGCCAAGGCAATCCCTTTATCTGCAAGGAACTATGATTGCACCGACAGGACGACTAGCAAAGAGTGGAAGGTTACACAGTTGGATAACAAGGTACGAGAATGAGAAAAGAAACAAAGCCATACGGAGTATCTTCTGAACTGATTATCGTTATAAACGAAAACTCATCGCAATTGTCGTTTCAAGGTCACCAGTAACAATCCAACCTTGCAAAATCCAATCACCCGTACAAGTCGATTCCAACGCGACCACCATCACCAACCCGACTATGGAAGACACGACGTCTCCCTCGACTTTACTTTCTCCCCTCCACTTGACCCACCTAACCTTCCACCACAACAAACTTCCTCACTCTCTGCTTTCTACGTCTCTTGCCAACTCTCTCTTTGCCCATTCTGTTCCACCTCATTACCCTTCTTCCAAACCCTCTTCCACATCATTCTATCTTGACGCGATATATCCTACTTCTCGAACGGTTCTGTACAATCTTTTATTGCACACAGGCCGGACTCATCAGATTCGTGTACATTTGGCCGAAGCGGGATTCCCTATTGTGGGAGATTATGTATACGAAAATTTACGAAGAAGAAACGCATACAATCCTGATGCCGAACTGGCATTGCAAAGCTGTAGAATTAAATTTCCTATGCCCGGGGTAGATGGAGAATGGGTGGATGTTAAAGTTGAAATTCCTCAAGATTGGCTTAAATGGATGGTGGAATAAAAAAGAGAGGCATCTGCCAAATTGCAGTACAATATTTAACCATTCTCATCAGAAAACTTTTGTGCTCAGGGAATTGATTGGACAATCTTCTGTATGCATAGTTTGTCAGAATGTTTTATGAAACAGAAACTGAAAGCATCAGCATTGATGACGAAGGGGAGATGATAATGATGAAGTGTCTAAACACTCAGATGTTGAGAGTGAAGGGTCTGAGGAAACACAAATACTCGTAGTCACTAAGGCACAAGTAATCCCGTCTACAAGTATAAATACAACCACTCCCCTATCCTCAAGTCCTCACCAAAGTAAAAGCTCCAGTGAAGACTCAAACCGAATACGAATCCAATCCATTATCAAGTTATAAAACACCACCCCACGATTCTAATCAATTTATCATGGATAAAGAACAATTCAACCAACTTATCAACACCTTGACCAGCCTGAAAGTTATCAAAGTGCAAGGCCTAGGCCCTGCTGTCAACTGCCCCCTCAAGATACGAACATCTTTTTTGAGATAGCGTTCAGTGGTTTTGAATTGGGAATGGCCAAGGAGTTGTTGAATGGAGCTGGAGTCTATTCCCAGGTCATAATGGAGAATAGAAGCAAAAGAACGGTGGAGGGTGTGCGGGGTAATGGTTCAAGTGAGATTGAATTCTTTAGATTTTCTTTTCTTCCTTGGTTCTTTAAATGATTCCGCCAACGTCCGTTTTTCTGACCGTTCCTCTTGGTGAACCTCATAAATTATCCGTTCTCGATCCAGATATTCTTTTAATAGACTGTGTATTTCTTAGGTTTGAAATGTAAGGAGCTATTTTTTCGCCTTGCTCTTGCTTTAAAAGAGAGCGTAAAGTGTTGTAGTTTTTGGGCTCCATAGTGGATCTAATATGATGTCGTATACAAATCCGTCACCGTTATGTCAAAAAACCTACTTCAATATGCTGGGCATTGGCCGCAATTATTTTGAAAATATCAGAAATCATCTGCTAAAGAATGGTCTTCTACCGCGGGTCCATGGTAATGTAAAACGAGCGCCGCGATGGAAAACCGAAATAACTATTAATATAACCGTTGCTACCGCTGTGAAGAATTTTCTCGAAAACTATGCGGAAATTCATGGACTACCAAGTCCTGGCAGAAATGTCAATCGCGTGCATTACTCAATCGCTTACACTTTTGCCAGCTGAGTCAGCCTATCGTGATTTTATTGCAGGTCTCAAAAATAATAGCACATTGAAATTATTTAAAATATGACGCATTCCGCAAGTTGTGGCATCAATTAACGCCTTATATTCAAATCATGAGTCCAAGAACGGATTTATGCGATACTTGTCAACATTTTCGGAATGGCTTACAGTATAATGCTCGCAAGGAAGAAGCAAGAGATTTACTAAAAAAATTCAAATAACATCTGGTTAAAGCTAAGTTAGAGAAGAACTATTACCACAAAAATACGAAATTAGCAGAAGAACAAAGGAAATTAGTAGATGAGCAGTTTATAATAAGAGGTAAAGCTGATTATTGTAGCGTTGACGCGACTGCTCATTACAGTTACGATTGGGCACAAAACGTTCACGTGCCCCATTCCGATCAACAATAAGTGCATTTATGAAGCAGTACGCGAACAAACTAATTATATAGGGATAGTCCTATTACTATATTCATCACATTATGGGTTATTTTCATCATGTTATGGTATGATAAAGTAAACATTAAAATTAACAAGTCCATAATACATAGTCACTCTCGATAAGTCGGACTCGTCGGGGCGGAGATTTTGTCCGACTTATCGAGAGATCCGACTT